TATGATTTTTCATTATAGTATTTAGTCATTAACTATTAGTATTCAATTACAGTTCTTTATTATGCTTGTTTACTGTGACGGAGATATTTAAAAAGGAAACAGCTTCACAATATAGATAGTGATATATATTTAGTAATTCAAAAGTACAGGCTCAACAATTTCAAAAGTACAAGTCTCATAACAAATTGTTGCCCTAATGCAACAATTTGCTATCTCTTGCAAACTAAGATCAAAAAAGAATAACCCTGTCGAGTATCTAGACACTCTAGATTTAATTTTAAAAGGAAAGATTGTTAAATGGTCAATTAATGTTGCACGTAAAAACTGATTTACAAATCGACTGCATCGATACAAAATAAGAGATAAGACTTGCCAAAGACAAAAAATCAACCAAACATGCAAAGTGTTTTATATAGCGGCAGAGTAGAAAAAGTTATTTCATTTACACCATTTCTTACTGACTTCATTTACACCATTTCTTACTGGAAAGATGATGAAACTGATATTGAAGCTGTTGACTATTGCATGAAAAAGATACAGCATGCTGCTGATGTTGTTTCCGGTGAGTTACAGTTTAATTAATTTAATAACACTGCAAGGGTTATGACTAGCCAAAAATGTATTGCAAATGTTGTGATTTGCATAAATAATACAGCAACTGTTGTGACTTGCATAAACTATATAGCAAGTGTTGTGACTTGCCAAAAATGTATTGCAAGTGTTGTAACTTGCATAAATAATACAGCAAGTGTTGTGACTTGCCAAAAATGTATTGCAAGTGTTATGACTTGCCAAAAATGTATTGCAAGTGTTGTGACTTGCATAAATAATACAGCAAGTGTTGTGACTTGCAAAAAATGTATTGCAAATGTTGTGACTTGCATAAATAATACAGCTAGTGCTGTGACTTGCCAAAATTATATAGCAAGTGTTATGACTTGTTAAATTTTTTGATAGACGTCTCTGGCTTACCATCACGTGATGTCTATTGTTCAAAATAATTGAAATATAATTTCATTACTGGAATTAATCATTTTAGCCATTCACAAAAAAACCATGACAAAAATATATTAAATTATTTTTAAAATGATTATAAATTATTATTTTTTATGACCATGGATGCATTACTAATGTATCTTTTAATCTAGTGGAATTTTTTTTTTGTACTTTTCTTCGTTGTACTTTTGGTCATCAATCCTTCAAAATTTTACCATAATTACCCAATCTTCAAAAACTTTACCATAATTATCCCAGAGGCCATCAATCCCCCTCCCCTTACTCATCAAATAATAAATCATTTTTCAAAATTGACAATAAATGTTTTAACAAACTTTTAAATAATATATAATGACAAAAGCACGTTTTTTAAAACTATATTTAATATTTATGATTTAAAAACTATATTAGAACAAGTTCTACAAGCAAGAAGCTTAAATTTAAGTTTCCCGCCAATTTCATTCGTTTTGATACAATATAATACTTTAAAAAATGGCGAAAAATAAAGTTTTGATAAGTTCGTTAACATTTGTAGTAATCCTTTTATATTATAAAAGTAGATTTATTAAATTAAGTAGAAAATATATACATACATATATATATATATATATAAATATATATATATATATATATATATATATATATATATATATATATATATATATATATATATATATATTTTATTTGTGGAACTCGGTTGAACATTTATTTAGCTGGTTTATAAACCAAAAAAATTTAACTGTTTGCTATTTTTTTTTTAGAAAAATCTTTAAATTCAAACAAAAAAAATCAGACTTTTCTTTTTCTTTTTAGTATATTTAAATTATATAGTCTCAAAACATCTTAAAAAATAAATAAACACTTTTATTTAAATTTTCAATTCTCTAATTTAGTTGAATAAAAACTTCACATTTTTCAGATTTCTTTAAAAATAATATCAAGTTTTTTCACTTCTCTTAGCTATAAAATACAAAATAAAAGTTTTATGAAAAAGTTATTTTTATTTTTGAAATAAAAAAATCATTGTAATTTAGCATTATTTAAAAAAAGGCACTTAATTTATAAGAAAGTTGTGAAGGGTTTATTGCCATTTTTCTGTTGCTTTGAGTCACTGTGCGCCGAATTCATAATAAAGCCCGTTCTCCATTCAGAACTTTTTGCGCTTTGGAGGAGCGGAAAAGTTCTTTGAGCATGCGCAAAAAGTTCTGATAGGAGAACGGGCTTAATAGCGGTTTGTTTGAGTTTTGCGGTGTAATAAAAAAAAAACGTTATTAATTTGGTAAAATGAAATTAAGTTGTAAATAAACTTAATTAAACTCATTCTCAGCGTAGTAAAGGAGAGATCCAAAGAAAAATATAGCGTTTAGGCCCTTTCGTTTTCGAAAAATGCCGTTTCATTTTGTGTGCGTTTTGATTGGTTTATTTTTTTTAAAAAATCACGAAGCTTGTTGTTTAATTGTTTACAAATATTTGGCGAATTTATTATCTACGAATTTGTATGTGCGCATTGGCATAAGTGCGACGCCTTGCAAAAACTGGCATAAGATCAAACTGGCATATGTAACTGTTTTGCTTGATGCTTTGGTTGAAAAAAGATTTATAAAAAAATAATAAATTATATAAGAAAAGCTTACATTCTACTTTTTAAAAATATATAACAGTAATAGTCAAAAATAAGCGGAAAATAGAGGTTTAAATATGTAAACTTTTGTTTTTAAGAAATACAAATCGTTCGGATCTCTCCTTAACTTACGCTGAAAAAGTTAAGGAGATCTTGATTTACAAATAAACTTTTGAGAGATATACTAGCATTGACGGAAATGAATTATTTTCTCAACTAGAATTAACTTCGACTTCCATCAAATGTGTCACCATAAGAATATTTGAAAAGAAACTTGCTATTGGATGTGTTTCCAAATCTATGTGTTGCACCGCAAATTATAGAAACTATGCCAATTACTATAGCTTCAAGAGAGCGAAGTTTTTCTAAACTTAAGTTGATTAAAACCTATTCAATGTATGTATGTATGCAGTGGCGATTTTATGTTGTAGGGGTGTACCCCCCCCCCCCCCCGAAAA